TTGCAGGTACATCTCAGTTTATAGAGGAGAACTCAAAGAGAGGGGGAGCTCTACAGGGAAGAAGCTTTTTAAAGTTGGTTACTGCACATGAACGGTTCTGTCATGTTAATCTGAATCATAAAAAGTCTGCTTGAATTTAGCTGAATCAAGCAGACTTTTAACTCATATCTCTGTGATAAAAGACTTCCACATAGTGTCCAAAGTGAACGCACAACATATTTAGCAAATGTAAACCAGTCAAACAGTGGGTAAGAAGACATATTGCAGGACCTCCCTCCCAGCACTGACATAGCAGTAGTAGAGCCTATACTTTGGAGCGGTCTCCATATCACCTTCCCACAGTAGTGACAATTTCCCTTTTTGGTCTATTCCATGTTGGAATCTTACGATGACATGCCTTCCCTAACTACCTTTAGCTAAGTTCACCATGGCATGTTTAACGTCAGTGGAGGTATATGTTTTGAGGTGTACATATATGAATACCCATGCGGTTTTGACAGTCATATGGCTCACACACAGTACACTCTACTAAAGTTATGTAATTACCTCTATCCTTCCCGTTCTGAATCTTCTCCTCTTCATCCTCCCCACCTTCTTCAGCTGAAAAGTAAATAGCATTTAAATTGAATATCTTCAATTAAAAATAATAAGGAACCATTACTTGTTAATCCATGTGAGGTGCGTTTTGGAGCTACAGAGTCTGCACTACCTTAAATACAACTCCCTGACTGTACCTTCGTGTATAATTCTAATGGACAGCTGTCCAATCTGGACCATTACAAGCAAGGCCTGGAATGATTAAATATGAATGATTCAGGTGGGATAAAACATAAAAGTAGGAACACATCGAGCTTTCATTGCTACGATTACCAAGAAACCACAGCTGTTCTGTAAAGTCCTTTAATGGTCATAATCCAAACTCTTGTCTGAACCCGACAGAAGAATATTAACAAGCAGAAACACAGGAAAAGTTTGTTAATCTAATAAAAAGTGGGCCATCTACATCTATCTTTATGGGTAAATATCTGCTTGGGGGAAAAGAAGGGAAACCAACTATTGGTTGGGATATGTTATAAACCACCTAATGTTAATATTGACGAGGAACAACAGCTGTTTGAGCAAATTGAGAAAGCTGCAAATCTGGGTAACACTTTAATTATTGGAGATTTTAATTACCCGGATATAAATTGGGACAGAGGGACTAGTGCCTCAGCAAAGGGAATTAGGTTTTTAAACTTGTTAAATGACACCTTCATGTCACAACTTGTACAAGCACCAACTAGAATGGATGCTTGTCTGGACCTGGTTTTAACAAACAACATTGATCTTTTGACCAACATTCAAGTAGGTGAGCACTTGGGAAATAGTGATCACAATATAGTGTCCTTTGAAATAAACTCAAAAAAACAAAAGCACATGGGGAATACTAAAACATATAATTTTAAAAAGGCCAATTTCAATAAGTTAAGGGAAGCTTTACAATATATTGACTGGCATAAACTCTTTAGTGAAAAGAACACTGAGGGTAAATGGATCATCTTCCAACAAATATTACAAAGGTACATTTCTCAGTATGTACCATTGGGAAATAAATATAAAAGAAACAAATTAAAACCAATGTGGCTTATTAGAGAAGTAAAACAAGAGATTACAACTAAGAAAAGGGCATTTAAAGCATTTAAATCGGACAAATCAGATGCATCTTATAAAAGATACAAGGATGCAAATAATGCGTGCAAAAAGGCAATTAGACTTGCTAAACTTCAAAATGAAATAATGATAGCTGAAGAGAGCAAAACCAACCCCAAAGCATTTTTTAAGTACATAAATTCTAAAAAACAAACAAAATGAAAGTGTAGGTACACTAAAAACTGAAACGGGGGTGTTAGTTAATGAAGACCAGGAAAAGGCAGGAATTTTAAATAACTATTTCTCCTCCGTATATATTAAGGAAGAACCCATGGCAATAGATGTGCAAATGATTGCTACTAAAAACTTGCAGAATAATTGTAATTGGTTAACTCAAGACAAGGTGCTGCAGCAACTAAAGAAAGTTAATATAAACAAAGCTCCAGGGCCTGACGGTATCCATCCACGTGTACTTAAGGAACTAAGTGCAGAAATAAGTGAACCTCTGTTTTTAATCTTTCAAGATTCTTTTCTTTCAGGAAGTGTTCCGGAGGATTGGAGGAAGGCAGATGTGGTTCCTATATTCAAAAAGGGTTCAAAATCCTTGCCTGGAAATTATAGACCTGTGAGCTTAACTTCTGTGGCTGGTAAAATATTTGAAAGGTTATTAAGGGATAATATTCAAGAATTCCTTGAGAAGAACATGGTTATCAGCAAAAATCAGCATGGTTTTATGAAGCACAGGTCATGTCAAACTAACTTGATTGCGTTCTACGAAGAAGTAAGTAGAAGTATAGATCAGGGTGTTGCCGTGGATGTGATCTTTTTGGATTTTGCCAAGGCATTTGATACAGTTCCACACAATAGATTAGTGTTCAAACTCAAGGAAATCGGTCTAGATGAAAATGCTTGTTGGTAAATTTTCAAGCTGGACAGAGGTGGCAAGTGGTGTCCCTCAGGGGTCTGTTCTGGGACCCCTTCTATTTAACATGTTTATAAATGATCTTGAAGACCGCATTGAAAGTCATGTTTCAGTGTTTGCAGATGACACAAAACTTTGTAAAACAATACAATGTGAGCAAGATATTACTTTGCTGCAGAGGGATTTAGATAGACTGGGAGACTGGGCACTCAAATGGCAGATGAAATTTAATGTTGAAAAATGCAAAGTTATGCACTTCGGCGTAAAGAATACACAAGCAACGTATACCCTTAATGGAAGCGAATTAGGGATAACAACACATGAAAAGGACTTGGGAATTGTTATAGACAACAAACTATGCAACAATGTGCAATGTCAATCAGCAGTGGCCAAGGCCAGTAAGGTATTGTCATGCATGAAAAAGGGCATTCATTCTCGGGACAAGAATATAATTTTGCCTCTTTATAAATCACTGGTAAGACCCCATATTGAATATGCTGTGCAATTTTGGGCACCTGTTCTAAAGAAGGATATTATGGCACTAGAAAAAGTGCAGAGGCGGGCTACAAAATTAATAAAAGGAATGGAACATATCGGCTATGAAGAAAGGTTAACAAATTTAAACCTATTTAGTTTAGAAAAACGTCGCCTGAGAGGGGATATGATAACATTATACAAATATATTCGGGGCCAATACAAACCATTGTGTGGAAATCTATTCACAAACCGGACTTTACATAGGACACGAGGCCATGCGTTTAGACTGGAAGAAAGAAGATTTCGTCTAAGGCAAAGGAAAGGTTTTTTACTGTAAGAACAATCAGGATGTGGAATTCTCTGCCTGGAAGTGGTTTTATCAGAGTCCATACAGATGTTCAAACAGCTACTAGATGCATACTTGCAAGAACAGAATATTCAAGGATATAATCTTTCAATGTAGGGTAATAACTGCTTGATCCAAGGATAAATCTGACTGCCATTCTGGGGTCAAGAAGGAATTTTTTTCCTAGCTTGTTGCAAAATTGTGCTTCAAACTGGTTTTTTTTGCCTTCTTTTGGATCAACAGCAAAAAACAAATGTGAGGTAGGCTGAACTTGATGGACGCAAGTCTCTTTTCAGCTATGTAACTATGTAACTATATCTTACTATCTTGCAATCTGTGTGATGGCAATGATACCTTCTACTAGACATCAGCTCACTGCTCACCACAAAAATTGCAAAAAAGGATCCCGAGTACGATCACGTATCATAAACCCCTGTAGCGGAATGGAGAAACCAAATATACTTTTATTCCCTTTTTCCGGCTGTCCGTATACCCCCGTTTGTTTACCAAACCCCCTCGCTGTGTGGCCCCTTGTTCGCACATTTGAATCACCGACCACCCCTGGCTGTTACCCACAAATTGGTTATTAGTTCAAGTGTTTTCCCTGTGTGGCCATTTTGTCTCCTGAAGGCGGGCAGCAGTACATGATCGACCGCGTGGAACTGTTTTCGGATACACTACCCCGCTAACACCCAGGAAACTGGTAACGCTGCCCATCCAACTTTCCAAACAGTCAGTCCCGGAGTTCATAAGGCATAAAATACCGAACAGCATTCTTACCCTAACAGCCAGGGAATGGATTCATCAGTGTTCGTGTGAGAACCCCGAAAGATGACTGGTCGTTGTCTTGTTTTCTCTTGAACTGTTTTGGGGCATCACCTCGTTATGTAAGTAGATACAGGGCCAGTCTCAGCTCTCTGGAAACAGAGGTCACCCACTGAGAATTATATGGCAAAAGCTGGTTGCAGGAACCGCACTCACTCCCAACGGCCACAGGTGCTCTGGAACAGGATCAGCAATCCCAATACGACAATGCAATAAGAAAAAAGATTTGTCAAGCTCAACAAAGACCTCACGTTAGGTCGAAACGTTGCTGTCCATTTTGTTGCAATAAATCTGCCTGCGGCTTTCACATTTGGAGTGCCTGTGAATTTTTCTTATTCCACTGTGAATTACAGGCGAAATTGTTATGAACCAAGAAACATTGAATGCTCCACCAGATCCACCAGGTCACCTTAGTCCAATTCCCTGGTGATGGGATGGCCTCTTGTAAAGTGTGAAAAAAACTGATTTAATTATTGTTTGTATATTTAAATTGTAATATGATTTACTATTTTATGATTTAGTTTGTTCACTTTCTCATTTCTGGTCCCTGTCAGAATAGCAGTATGTTATTATATCCCATAGTTATTTATGTTGTATTACTAATGTAATTAAGAATATTGAATGTCTTTAACGGTCTATATGGCAGTATTACAATTGGACGACAAGTGGGAAAAGCCTAGATCCTGGAGTGCTGAGCTGGGAAGCCCTGCTGTATGGGAGAATATAGGAAGATCATGACAGGCAGTGTTTGTGGTGTACCTGGCCCTCTTATTCATTATACTAACATACAGAGCCATCACTGGGAAACTGGGAAGGAATCCTGGGAAATGTCTGTCCATACTGACAGATCCACCACCGGATGTCCAGTTTGTAACGGGCGTTGGAACAAGATGGCGGAAAACTTAAGGTGGTGAAATGCCTATATGAAAAATATGTAATATATTTGAAAATACATGGGTAATACACTCTTGTCACCCACCTGAATGCAGCTCTTTAACCAAGGAAGACATGGTATTGGTAATTGAATCTGCAGCAACCAGTAAATCATTCCGGAGATTCCTCCTCGTACCTGTCAACACATATTACACAACCCATTAATGGATGCACATGAAAAAGTGTTAATACAAGACTACGCAATAACAGATACAAACAGAGTCCCAGCATAGTGATCAGCAGAGACCCAGAGCTGTTATCACACAAGCAGTCAGTGGTCGCTGTGATAAAGATTAGCACAGACCTTGCACCATGAGTCACAAGCAGTCAGTGGTTGCTGTGATAAAGATCAGCACAGACCCTGCACCATGAGTCACAAGCAGTCAGTGGTTGCTGTGATAAAGATTAGCACAGACCCTGCACCATGAGTAAGCAGATACAAGCAGTGGTTGCTGTGATAAAGATTCCCAGCACCATGAGTGATCAGCAGAG